TTAAACATCTACATGGTTTGTGAGGCTGTATGGATGCTGTATATGGCTCAGACTTTAGTGATCCAGCCTGCTTATGTGGCCATCATGCAGAGAGAGAGAACCCCACTCTTGGCCCTTGGAGAATATGGGGGTGTTCTCATTCCCAGGGTATATAGATGTGGCCATGTCATCACAGAAGTTGTTTCCAGGGTAGGTAGAATTAGACTTTTTCAAGGGACTAAGTTTCAAAGTCAAAGGTATTTTATATATTATTTTGCATAGAGTAAGGCTCTGCATAATGGTACTAGTTACTAGGGCCAAGTTCACATTCTTTTGCTATACATCCCCATTTAATCTTTTTGTTAAAAGAAGCTTTTCTGCCTTCTATGGTGCTTTCTTAAAGATTTTCTGTATTCTATTTTTTTCGAAGGCACTAGATTTCAAATTGAGAGTAAATTGAATGACTTCTTCCACAAACGTGGAGAAATATTATGCTGGGTTTTATACTAGTCAGATCATTGGTTATAGTCCTAGAAGCTGGCATAAATATCAAGTAGTTACCCTTCCTGTGATTTAGAGACTCCCCACTGCCTCACCATCAGACCTGAACTCTGGGCCCTATTTGTGCATCCAGTTCGAATTTCAGTTTCTATTTGGGATGGGCTCAGCACATGTCTAGAGCTTTCATTCTATTCTTGAACAGTGCTGAGTGCGCCAATATTCTAGAGATTGGGAAGGAAAGAGGTTTCTAGGGTGCTAGGTAATCAGACTCATATTCAGAGGTCTCCAGACTCATCTCAGAATCTGAAGAAGCATATTTTGAATAGTTTGGTTGTGTGCTCCATGAAGGCAAGGATTTTGCCCATCTTGTTTGCTATTGTCCCAGAACCTTCACAGCACATACTCTACACTTAATAATTGATCCAGTGAGTAAATGAACTCAACAGGGATTTTCAATAGGAAGCATTTATTTCCATGCAGCTACCTTTGACCTAATGTTTTCCTCTTGGGGGCGGCTACAGTCCTCTCACTCTCCAAGAAACCGGAATCCTTTATGTTTTGTTGTTGTTTTGCTTTTTTCAGAACACGTTTCCTGAAGTATTTTTAAACAGCTATACTGAACTATTATTTACATACTATAAAGTTCACCCATTCAAAGTGTTCAGTTCAATGGGTTTTATTATATTTGGAATTGTGCAACCATCACCACAATCTAATTGGTGCAGGAAACATAGAACACCAGATGGAGCTTGCTGCCACAAAAACCCAGGTTTAAACCCTCATTTCTGTCACTTACAAGCTGTATGATCTTGGGCGCATTTCTTACATCTTGGAGCCTTTGTTTTTCCTGGCTGTGAGACGATTCGTCATTCATAAATTTGTTGTGAGAAATAAATGAAGCATTATATATCAAGCACATAGCTGGGAGCACGGCACAGAGTAGGCTTTTGGCAAGCCTTTTTTCCCTGCCCTCTGTGACCCTCGTACCGTTCAGCTGCTGGACCACACAGGATGGCAAGCGGGGACAGAGATGGCTCTGATCTATGATACTCCTGAGCCACTTTCTCCTGACTTGGGAGGAGAAAGGATCCTAAGGGAAGGTACATCTTGCTCAACAACGTGCTCGTCAACTTCTATGATATTACCAGCTCTGGCCAGAGCATCAGCCAAGATGCCCTATTTCCCACCAATCAGCTGTTCCTGTTTATTTTTCTTTCAGTCTAAAATCAGTGGGTTTGACCAATCTCTCAGAAAACTCCCATACACACTTGGACTTCAATAAGTCATGGTCTTCTGTCTTCAGTGTTTTCTTCCCCCAATGCAGCCATTTCTAGAGGGTTCTGAACTCTACATATTTTTCCTTGCAATCATAGAATATTAATGTTGGAAGGAACCCTAGGCATAATTCAGTTAAAGTCTCTTAACAGTTGAAGAAACCGAGGCCCAAAGAAGTGAGGTAACTTGGTTACATCGTTAGTTGGTAGCAGGTCAAGACTAGCACACTGTCAGCATTTAATAAATATTTGTGGAGTGAAGGAATACCCTTCGGTACATTCTTTTGCCTCGGTTGACCTGGGAACGAGATTGAAGTCTGAGGGTTTGAGTTCACATTTTGACCCCATCTCTCTAGTCCTCTTTTTCTATAAAACAAGGATAAACCTGTAGTTGTTAAATAAAGAGATCAGAAGCAGCCCTGCAAAGTGTACCACGCTAAGTGGCGATAATATTTACGTAGTCAACAGTGTCTGGAAAAAGTGAAAATAACAACTTCCATCCTGATGAGAATCTGCACATTTGGTCTGAATCTTGTAATTCATTTTGGTTTCCCATTTCTGAGTGGAGAGAATTGACATTTTCCAGGCAGCTCTGGCTTCGGAGGGATCTAGACACAGGGGATTTGTTCCCTGCAAGCTACCCTGTGGTCAGTGGTTGGTATGGCTAGTAAAGGCTTCTGTACCAAGCCCCTGAGCATGCCGGGTGGAAGGGTACAGGGAGGGAGGCAGAAGACATCAGTAAAAAGAAGACCAAAAATTGGAGATGTCAGTAAGCCCGTGAATTTCTTTAAATTAATTTTTAGGTCCCCGTATAATATAACCAGGCCATAATTTCTGATGCTAGCCATTCAGCAGTAGCTATGTCTTCTTTTGAAAGTACAGTATAAGAGAATCCTCTCTCTCTCTCCCCTCTCCCCCTCTCTCTCCCTCCACTCCCTCCATCCTTACTCCACCATTTTCTTCTCCTTTGTGAACAGAATGTTATATTTTTAGTGTGCAGGGGGCTGTGTAGGTTACAAACTCAGACTCCAGGCCAGCAAATGAGTCAAAATTGGGTGTTTTCCATCCAAAGAACTGTTAAGGGTCCTAATTTAAAATGAATAAAGCCTTTCAACAGTGTCCTTGTTTCCCTAAATCAATGTGGTTTTATGTAAACATTTATCTCCTTTGCACTTTTCCACCTACCACACCGGTCGTGTAATAATGGCTTCGTGGACATTAATGTTTTTACCAGATACATTTGGGAGGAAGGGTGGGGTAAGTGAGGGGAAGTATAACACACACTGAATGCATCATAAGGAGCCCAGTTGTGGCAAAACTTTCTCGAAATCAAGAGGTTAGTGAGAAAAAGCACTTGATTTAAGTTTAGTGTTTTTTGTTTTGTTTTTTTATTGGGGGGTGCGTAAATTACTGATGGGGGTGTTGGAGGACAAATGTGGGATGGGGGTGGGGACTATTGTTTAGAGAGAGACTCAAGTGAGAAAAAGGCAAGTTTTAACTGTAACACGAGAGCATATCCTTGCGTTGTCAGTGCCTGTAGATGACTCTGCTGCGAATGCATAAACGAAAGGTTTCTCCTTAAAAAAATAAAATGTTTGAGTTCTGATCCATCTTTTCTTATAAGCAGGTCTGCTTTCTAACGTGCTCTGATTGACATGGCAGACATTTCCCTGCACTTTAGAAAGTGAGGCAGGTGGTGAATTTGAACGCTGCACAAAGCAGTGGGAGCAATTTCTCTGCCTTGTCATTCTGGAGGTCCCTCGGATAAAGACCCTGGACACCTTCATGGCCCAAAAAGCAATGCCTAACCTCCTGCCCCAGAAAAGATTAAAACGGAGAAGTGAAAAGCAGATGTTATAAAATAATGAAAAAATGTTTAGCCATTATTTCTAAATTCACACCCCACCATATTCCTCAGCTAGGAATCAGGAACGCTTGGCCAAGTATTTTTAGTTCTAGAGTAATTCCTCTTTTCTCCTCCTTTATCATTTACTGTTTATCTTTCCATTAGGGTTTTTTTTTTCTTTTTTTCTTTTTTTAAGTGTTGAATACAATCAATTGGAGCACTCTCTAATTCTTTTGTGTGATTGTTAAAGAAATTAAAATAAGCAGAAGGTCAGATGAGAGCATCTCACCAACTGCTGCTTTAAAATAGAATTTTTGGAAGCATTGCTGATTTTTACTTATTTTTGTTGGTAAATCCTGGGGAAAATGTATATCTTTTCCTTTAAAGTTCTAATTCAAGGCATGGATGTGAGAGTTCTGAAGGGACTTTGGGACTGCGGTAAAATTTCGTTGTCATAGTAACAGAAAGGGAAATAGGCCTAGCTCACCTGGGACTTTAACACTGCAAAAGCTGGATTTTTTTTTTTTTTTTTTTTTAAGGAAAAGGACTCTGAGAGTAAAATAAATGAAAAACTTATTGTATTTTGAAACAAAATTCCAAACATTAAATACATAAACGGCTGAAAAGGCCACTTCTACCATTTTTCTTGGTTGATGTACTTGTCTGATTAAAGATGCCCTATTTGCAAATTGCATACATAGTTTATTTAGCAGAATGGTGGCTTAAAAATTTGTCTTATGAATGATAACTGCAGACCCTTATACTATGCCTTTACATTTTTTGCATAATCTGTAGAAGGTCTGAAAGGACATTCACACTGATTATTAATCGTAAAAATGCCAGCATATACCTGCACAGACTGACTCTGTCTTTGGACGATAACATACCATTTTCTGACTTTATATACATCGGTTGAAAATATCAGGCCCCCTTTGTGTGTGAGGGTGTACATGTGAGGTGTGTGAGCAGGAAGGTGTGTGTGGCCAGCGGAAAGCCACATACGTGAGGAACCCTGGGATTCTGGGCTAAGTCATGCCATTTTTAACCCTGGAGCAAGACATTTTTGCTCGGCAGGAGTCACTGCTGCTTTTGAAGGCTTTTTTTTTTTTTTTTTTTTTTGGGAAAGAGAGCCCTAGCAACTCGAGGGGCGGGTGTAAAAACCAGAACCCAGCTTGTGAACCACTTCACAATCCTCCACAGTGATGGAGCCAACTTGCGACTGAAAACATCTAAATTTGCAAATTGCAGAGGGTCAGCAGTGTTCCTTCCCAGGCAGGGCTGGCTGAAATTCCCCAGACCTGAAATACAATCACTTTCCAATCAAATCTAATATAATGCAGAGATAGGCTCTCTTAAAAAATGTTTACTTAAAAATGTAACACATTGCTTTCTCTTCACAGATTCTTTTTAAAATTTTTCCTCAAGTGCAATCAGAATTGTTTGAAAACAGCAGGAAACCCAAGGGACATGAGAAGGTTTCAGGTAAGGGGCCTGTTGATTTTTCCTGTGAAATAAGTCATCCCGTTTTCTCTCTCCTCGGCACTCCTTTCCTTTTCTTTTTTTCCTTTGAACACATTATTCACTGAGGTCGCTAACAATAAACGAGATAACTGTAATGATAACCCGCACTGCATAGCATTGAGGGTTTCTTTAGTTTATAGTGTTTAGGCTCCCACTTCCAGTGTCGAAGCCCCAGGGAGGGGCACCGACGCCAGCTAGAGATTCGATTTTAAGCCCTCAGGCTGCCCTTCGCACACACAGCTGCCCACAGCAGGAACCGTGTTCTTGATATGCAGCCACCTTGGGATTTCTCAGAGCAGCTTCTCTGCGCTTTCTGCAAGCAACAGCCTCATCCTTTCCTTTTCCACCCATTAACTATTCAGTGGTCTCTCTCAGAGCCTTTTGGAAAGCAGCAACCCAAACAGCCGTGGTCACTTTAAGATCTCAGCATGACAACAAGACCCACGGGACAGTGACCCAGCTGCCTGGCAGTTAAATCTGCCACCGGTTTCATCACCCTTGCCACTGATGTACTGAGGATGCAAGCTAATAAAAACACAGCGAGGCAAAGTGTGTCAGGTTGGGCACGTGAGGGAGAGCAGCCCCTCTCAGCCCCCCTTCTTTCATCTTTGAAGGACCCACATTTAATCCACCAAATGCCTTTCCTGCCATTCATGCCCAGTCGAAACACACAGTGCTCCCTTCCCCACAGAAAAATTAAAAACGCGTTAAGCAACAGTATTGACGTTTGCGACTTTAAAAAATAGTCCTGGCAGCGATGAGAGAGGTGGGGATGATCAGCCTCCTGTTTCAGGTGAGGAAAGTGAGTTTCTGGGAGTTTGTGACTCGCCTCGAATCACAGGAACGAGATGGTGGAGTCGGGAGCCAGGAGGAGCTGTCTGATCAAACTCCTTCCACCAGACCATGGCGTGGCGGCACGTGCAGCTGCTCGGTGTCTGGCTTTGCTGTTGCCTTTTTGAAATTCTTAATAATTCCTGAACAAGGAGCCGCACGTATTCATTTCGTACCAGACCCCACAAATCCTGGTTTAAGAACAGAGCCATGAAAAGGTTGATTGGGGAGAGGTGCATACACACAAGGCCAGAGAAAACTACTCTGAAAAACCTATTCTTGTAATTTTTTTTTTTTTTTAACCACATCACGGTTATCAAACAATCTTGCTGGGACTGGGACATTTTTTGTTAGTTTTTTTAACAGTGTTATCAGCCTCTCTTAAAAAAGTTAATTTAAGCCCTTCCTCTCTCCATCATGCTGTGTGACGTGGAGACAAATAGAAATAAAACGAACTTTCTTGGGGATCAAGCAGAAACTTTCTGCACAGGGAAGTGGGTGGCACTTGGTATTCCAAATGGGACCATAAATAATTTCAGTCCCCAAAAGTGTGAAAATCAAAAGAGTTCTGAGTGCCTCGATGACCAAGCTTAGCTTTCACTTCCTGAAGAAATGGAGGCAGGAAAAGAAGCTGGAAATGTGGATTCTTATCCCTGTTATGCTCTGCCATTACTTTCAAAGTTTTAAAGTTGAGAAAACTCTTTATGAGTTCGAAGAGGCTTTTAATAGAGTGTCTTGTCATTTTGTTTATCCCAAATCATAGAAATGTACTCGCTAAGCAAGTGCATGCTAATATTTCCTCTACTTCTTCAGTTATTTATGAAGTGAGGTTTGCAATGAGCCTGAGTTTTTATTTAACAGGGTTAGGATACATATTGCTGACCTCAAAATGACGAAGAATTCTCATCCTGAGTGAAAGTACTTGACTTTTGCCAAGACAGGGGAAAATATATATATATTTTTAAGTTTGTAAATTCTTTGATTGTCTTATTTCTGGGGAAGAGCCAAAGAAAATTGATAATTTTTTGCAGTATTTTTGAGATAAAATTTATATAACATAAATATCATTCACCATTTTAACCCCTTTAAAGTGTGCAGTTCAGTAGCTTTCAGTATATTCACAATGTTGTGCAACTGTCACCACTCTATAATTCCAGAACATTTTCATCATCCCCCCAAAAAACTCATACGTCCAAATTCTCTTTCCCCCCACCCACTGGCAACCACTAATCTACCTTCTGTGTCTGTGGATTTGTCTACAGAGGACGTTTCATATAAATGGAATTGTATATTATGTGGGCTTATTCTCCTGGTTTCTTTCAAGATTCATCCTTGTTGTAGCATGTATCTGTACTTCATTCCTTTTTATGGCTCAATAATATTCCATTTTAAGAATATACCACATTTTGTTTAACTATACATCACTTGATAGATACTTGGGTGGTTTCTCCTTTTGGCTTTTATAAATAATGCCACTATGAACATTTGTATGCAAGTTTTTTTGTGTGTGTGTGGCCATATGTTATCAGATCTCTTGAGTGTATATCTAAGAGTAGAATTTCTGGTAACGCTATCTTTAACTTTTGAAGAGCTACCAAACTGTTTTCCACAGTTGGCTGCACCATTTTACATTCCATCAATAATGTGCGAAGGTTCCAATTTCTTCACAGTTTACAAAGACTTATTATTATTATTATTATTGTTTTTTAAATTCCAGCTATCCTATGAGTGTGAAGTGGTATCTAGTTGTGGTTTTGGTTTTCTTTCTCCAATAACTAGTGAGCAATTTTTCATGTACTTATTGGTCATTTGTGTATCTTTTTTGGAGAAATGTCCATTCAAATCCTTTGCCTGTTTTTAAATTGGGCTATTTTATTGTCGAGTTGTAAGAGTTCTTTATATATTCGAGATATTAGGCACTTATGAAATAAGCGATTTGCAAATATTTTTATTCATTGCAACACTGTCTTTCTGGAAAGTGTCCTTTGATGTGCAAAAGAATTGGTAATTTTTATACTGTAGTCAGATTCTATTAAGAGTGTGACCTTCAACGAGAGCTCTTTTACATGGAGAAGGCTTTTAAGGGGAAAGCTTGACTATAGGCTATAATGGGCAAGTGAGAAACTTGGATCAAGTTGAAAATATGAAACAAAACTAGAGGTAGTAGGTAATCCTGGTGGCGGGGAGAATGATCTGAAGGAATGGTGATTTAAGAATTCCTGGAATCGATATTCAGGAAGACAGAGGTAATAATTTTAACCCATGTAGACAATTACATCGATTCTCCATTTTTGTTATACGATCAAGCACATTTTTAATCTGAAGTATTCTTTTGTGGAGATTTGATCCGAACAGAATAGAAATATGAAATAGTTCTAACCAAGTCACGGATCCGACCAAATTCTCTTTCCTCTCTCACTCCTTCTCTTTCCCCTGTCCTCCAAACCCTGGTGGAGCCTGGATTCTTTTCCCACAAATGATCAAATGAGAACGAAATAACTATATCGAACTTATTTTCCAGCCTGACCCAGACCTCTCTTTAATTCAATTCAAGTCCTAAATATAATGGACATACAAAATATTTATCGAAACATAATGGGTTTTAACTTTTTTTTTTTTTTTTGGCTCTGACTCCTTTGAGAATTTGGTAAAAGCTGCTGCAGTTTCTATCCTAACAAAAAGCTACATTTCAACAAAGTTTTGTTTAAAATGTCAGGGGTTCCCAGACCTCTTGAAACATGTCTTAGAGTTCATAGATCTGTGATCTAAAGAAATGAAATTCATATAACACTCAATGGGTATCCTCCATGTAATTTAACCCTTATGACGAAGACCTTTCCACTGAGAACTTCTCCTGATGATCTTCCCACTCTCATGGCTTTAAGTGCTATCTGTTCCCGAATGACTCTTGGATCTATGCCTCAGATGTCACTCTTCTCTGGAGCTGCAGACATACAGCTTTGTCTTCCTCCTGGGCACCTTCCCTTGGAAGACTAACGAGCACATATTCACAGCAGAACTCAATAGTTACTCCCTGATCTGTGCCCTCCTCATTTATTGTTAGTGTCACTTCCTCCTCCTAAACATCTGTTAAATCTGTCCCTCTCTCCTGAAAAACGGCAATAGGCCCCTGCCTCTACTCCTTTCTCATCTAATCCACCCTCAGCACTACTGCCAACGTTATCTCTTAAAACACGTCACTCCTTTGCTTAATATGCCTTATAAATACCAACTGTCCATAGACAAAAGCTCAGATTTAAAAAGGCATGGCTGATGGAAGTATCTCCATACCAGGCAGACTGGTGCCAGGTACATCTCCTGTTTCCACATATCCACTGCTCACCAGGCACACCTCACGGATTTCTGCACGTGGAGTATTACTTGGAACCTTTCCCTGTGTTCACCCCTCTGCCTCAGAACCCTTCACTTCAATTTGCAACTTCCACTCATGCTTCAAGACTAACACCTGAGTGTCACCTCCTTTGTGAGGCCTTTCTGACTCTTCCTGGCAGACTTATTGGTTCCTTCTTCTGTGCCGACATACCTCTCCACGAGCTTCTCCAATGCTGTCAGTCGCATTGTCTTGCAATTATTATTTGTCTAGTAACAGATCGTGTGTTGCTTGAGGGTAATGGTATGTTTCCTTTATTTTTGTGTTTCTCCCCAGTGCCTAGCACAATGCCAGCCACTCTGTAGGGCTCAATAAATTGGAAATGAATTTTAGAGAGAGGAAGGAAAAAAAGGAAGGAAGGAAGGAAGGAAGGAAGGAAGGAAGGAAGGAAGGAAGGAAGGAAGGAAGGAAAAAACAAGAATTCTGGGGCCCCCAAAGTATCCAAATCCATGGACCCTACTTGCAGAAAATCCCTCCTTGAAATGAAACAATTAGGTGAAACACCCAGATTAACAGCCCAGTGAAGGAAAGGAAAGGAATTTATGTCCAGTTTAAGCTGACAGGCCTGTTAAGACATAATGAATCCCTTTCTTTATTTCTGTGCACTGAGAATGGGTGGAGAGCAGGCATTTGGAAAACCCAGAAGAAAATCAAGCCAAGGATAGGAGGAGTCAGGCTTGTTGTCGTTTCCCACACTGACATTCTAAAACACAGTAGAAGTTGACAACAATCTGGGCTA